TACGCCCTATGGACGGGGTCAAACGTCCAAGGTTCCCAGTAGACCTGGATACCCAGTCGAGCCAGTAACTACTAAAGTGGGGTTTATATGCCTCCTCTTGGTTGGTTTGGAATGAGGGTTTATAGTCAACTCCCCTAGGTGAATTGCCAGTGGTTCACCGATCCCGTTGTAGCCCCAAATATCGGATTTTTCGTCCTCTCTCTGTGGTAGAAAAACACCGCCTCGAGAAAACAGCGAGTAGGGCTTATCCAACAGAGGCTATTCGAGACGCTTTGTCGCATAAAGCATTTGGCAAGGTATAGGCGAAGCGGTCACCGGTTACAACTCGAGACACTCACCCTGACCATACTAATGCTTTCGGAAGCCAGTTTATGGTCAAGTGATATTCTATAACGAAATTCATTCGGGTTATTAATTGTGCAGCGTCCCATAGCTGTCTTCTCCGGGCGCGAAACACTTACGTGTCCATGGTAATATGGTTTGCGCATTGAGCCTACTTTTAGTCTGTACGACTGATAGACACGGATATGCTACATGTCCTTCATCGAATTCGAGATTCGATGATGTTATCCGAACTTTTAACACAAGTGGTCTCACTTTCTGTCTTTTGTCTTTCACGCTTTAAGTTAGTCGTGTTGACTCGGACCCGTTGGGTATGCGTCGTCTGAATTTGGCTCGACTGATTGCACTCTATACACGCAAGTTTGAAGCCTCGTTTCCAGACGAGGCACTCGTCTATTTCCATTTCCTATCGGACATTCCTACGGAAGTCCAGATCCCCGCGGACACAGACTCGAATACAAACGCTTCGCTTGGATCTCCGTCCACTCGGAACTTGTTCGTGCATTTTGTCGCGGAACTAGCCCTCTCCACTCGGGCGGTAAGTTTTTGCACTACCTATGCTCGTTTAATTTACTAGTAGACATTTCATGTTTTAACTTTTTAACGTCTCCGTCTGTACGACCATTACCGATCGTATGTTTGTTGGGTTGCTGCTTTTTGGCTACCTATTCAAATGAAGGGGTAGAAGAAAGATTGAACAGTTGGAAGTAGTGTCAAAAAGAGAACAGAAAATTCCAGTAGGCTACGGTTGCAAAGAAATGGAAATGAAGACCACTGCTTATGACACTCAGACATATCACACAGTGTCCCAAACCATCGATTACGGTAATTCCGAGGTCGACACCTAGCCAGCCTAACGCGACTTAACCGAGTCTCCTGATCAGGGTTTCCGTAACATTTTGCCAGGTCTTTGTTTGATCACTTTTAGCTTTTTTCCACCAGTTCTGCTCTACAGTGCAGAGACTTGGCCACTACGGGAACATGATAAAAATAGATTGTCGATGTTCGAACGCCGCTGTCTACATCGCATCGCACGAGTCTGGTAGGGTAACCGGACGAGCAATGCTGAGGTCAGGCGTATAGTTTTAGGCAGTCGCGGTCGTCCACTGAAGCAACTGGGTCACCTCCGTGGACTACGTTGGTTGGGACATGTGTTGCGCATGTCACCAGATAGGTTGCTATGGCGTGCGATGTTTGCCGAGGCAGGTAGCGGATGGAAAAAAGTCAAGGGAGGTCAAACCAAGACCTGGCATGAGGGTATAAAACCCTAACTAAGAGATTGTTCACATGTGTCCCGTTAGGCTTCCTGGATGGGGTCCCCGAGATCATGGTCACCGGTGGTTAGAGACACAGTGATATAGCTGAGTGCCGCAAACAGTGGCGCTCATGCACCTACTTAGTATTCTTGTAATATCAATCTAAATGAATTCGCTATCTCGTGTCTTCAATTTTTTTTTAAATATTGCTGTGTTTCATCTATCTATCCCCTGTTTTATCCTCTTGTTACAGTTTGATCTTCTGCTGGGCACCCTCAATGAGGGCTCGTTCATGAAGGTGAGTTCCCACGTGCCCGCTTGCTTTCACCACAATGCACTAATATACGACTGATGCTCACTTTGCTGCCTGGTGTTCCTCAATATCCTACCGANGGTTGATTCAGAAATCTTTGTAGACTTACAACTCGTATCGAAAAGACATGACCCTAATGAATGCATTTCGCCCACCATTTGCTCAAATTCCTGTTCAACGGGGACGATTTTGTCTTGAGGTGGCACCGCATCTTTTCGAACTCAATACCCTTTTGTGTACCCATAAGATAGATCAAGTTAAACTGTACGCACCCAATAGGGTGTATTTTCATCACTTTCGACACGTTTTAACGAAGAAAACGTGTACAATAAATGAAAAGCAAACAGGTATTGTAAAACGTTAATGTGATAGGTGATTTTCCAAGTTAGCAATGATAGGCACTCGATTTACTAGGATACGGGCAAGATAAGGGATGATGCTATTTTGGTGTATGCTGATATATTCACGATGTATCCTAAAGTTGGAACTCGCACTCGATTGAGGCACGCATTTAAATAAGCTGAACGTACAGGCAGTGTTCTTCATTCTTTCTCCCTTAGACCGGCAAAAATACACGGGGTCAGTAGAACCAATGTGGAAGACTGTAAGCAGTCACAACTTTAAGAATTACATTTCGGGGAACGCCGAAACATGTACTTCATCGTTCTTGAACACCCTCACGACACTAACAGTTAAACAAGTTGAAAGTTCTAATCGTATATAGTCCTAAGGTTTTGGTATCAGACCAAAGAATACTGTCGGTTGGAATTTCTATTAAAGCCCATTCTCCCTGGGCTCATCTCCTTTGATTGATTATTTTGTCAGTCATAGAGGTTCTCCACAAGGCACAACATACTATGATGAAAGTGTTGTGTTTGACAGCCTATATCACCGAATCATATCCGAAGAAATGATTTTCAGTGAGAAAACAATTACGAAATGGCACAAGATTCTTCATTGGAAGCACCAGAAAACTATATCAAATAATGGAGGAGCGCGCCATATTTTTTTCTTTTGAGGGGGTGGGGTTACGGATAGCCTAGATTTTTCCCGGATGAAAAATGCAAGAGCACCGCGAACAGACCAAATTAACCAATCAAATTGCACTAACTTGTCGAATACTTTGGTTAAGACCAATCCAATAACATCGACAAACCACCAGCAATTTTCATTGATTCTTTGATAATTCTCGGGGAAAATTGGGTTTTCCCTGACAGGAAGTAATGTTCTTTTTTGTATCCTGATCGAAGTTGGTTGAGACTGTCCGAGAAGCATTACTTTGATTAGACAAGGACGGTTTATTCGACTTTCACTAATTGTGCTAGTTCATGTTTATCTCCAAACAATTGTTTCCTGANTTTATGCACTTCAGCAGCCACTGTCAAACTGATACGACATTAGGTCACACCACGTCTGAAGTTGTCGGCCCATTCACGTGCCTTACAAGTTGGCAGAGCAGTTGTGTTCACTACGGAATTGTTTTCACAGTCGCCTCCTGAATGACAGCACCAACTCTCGCATGAATATCAGTTGGGGATGATCGACCCAAATGAATAAATGAACACATTCTTTTTGGAAGTATGAAACCACAAGTAATAACCGCATAAGAATGGTTCGGTGTGTACGGATGGAAGATGCCTATGAGCTTGCTACTTCTCATCTGAGATTTAACATCAAAATTCGCGAATGAGTTATGAAGTAAAAACCAAGAGGGGGAACAGTCTGTGAAAGTGCTACTCGCTCCACTAGATGGCTTCTGGATTCTCGACTGTGGACCGGTACTGAGAGTCATCGAGTAAGCAATCATATGCACTCCCGTTGTGACACGTATTCAGTGTTTTTTCTCGTACCCGATGTGTTGCTAAACAATCATAACCCGAACATCGGACTCGAACTGAAGACACTCCAGTCAGATTGACAACCTTTCGAACCAGTTTGTCTTTGTGCTTTCCTGGGTTCCTTGTTTGCAAACTCTGGATATTGTTTTTTATCGTCCTACTTTATTGTCTACTCTTGTTACGGTAAACCAAGGGAATTAAAATTCTCCTTATCAGCCGCTTTGAATGACTTATTTCGTACGAGTTAAAACGAAACCTCGTCCACTCTTGAGCGGGGCGGGGGTGGGTGGGTTGGGCGTTGGGACTACCCTCTTGAACTGTTTTAGATTTTTTTTCCACACTCATCTCTTTAGACTTGTAAGGACTCGTTAGATTATTTCCCTCTTCCTTTCCACGTCACACCATGACTCTTGTTTATTTTTCCCACACTCTTTCTCTGTGTAGCCCGGTACAATCGCGCGTTATTGTCGAAGCGCTGAAGAACTCCAGGAAGTCATTGGTGCGGTGGCCAGCGTTGTCGAATCCCGTGGGCAGTTGTTGGATGCTGTTGCACTGTACCAATTAGCGGCCAACTGTTCTGGATCACGTGCACAACATTATTATCAAACCGCCGTGGGTATTATGAACTATTTCTTGACCGATTTGGTCGCCCCAGACACCGCTGGAACTGTTTCACAGACGTTTACTCGCGCTATCGGACGTCCAGACAGAGGTGAAGTGTTACGTATGGCCAGCCAGGTAAGTGATCACCCAATCCGACTGGTGGTAGCGTTAGATCGGTGGGTGCGTGGTTTTATACCGAATTAATTCCTCCCCCACCCCACCCCATACACTGTTTAGTCGTAAATCCAAATGCAAACTTGGCCTTCATTCAGCTCATGTTTTTGGCTTCAGTTGTGTATTTTACAGTGGAGCAATCCGGTTACTCATGTGTTTAAATTTTAACTACTGTGAGAGACTACTAAACAGTTATGTTTTTCCTGTTCGTGACTCGCCACTGTTGTCCGGTAGCGGTAGTACAATTGACTGAATTAGAAGCTAGAAAATAACGCCTAATTGATAGGTTTTCGTTGTTCAAATGGTTGTTTGGCAAATTGAAGTTGAAATTGTGATTCCAATGTGACAAAACAGTGCTTTGTAGTTGGTAGAACGTGCGCTGTACAAAGCGTAGGCGACGTCCATGTGTGGGTTTGAATCCCACCGAGGCTAATGAACTTTTCACAGTTTCAACGCAAGGATCAAAAGTGAGGCTGAAATTGGATAAATGTGTGCACATGAACTACTAGAGATTTATGATAAACAGTATTCCCTTATTCGTCGGTAGTGGTCCGCTGGTAACGTCACCAAATTGTCATTCCGGGAGACGTGTGTTCGAATCCCACCACCACCATCGCCTAACTTTCCCCACTTGTGTATGTATAGCAGCTCTTTGATTGGCCGCTTCCTCTTTCCTGAAAGTTGTATCATTGTGTATATTCAATAAAAGGAAGTACAAAGATAAGTAATAAAAATAGTACCGTGATTCGAACAGCACATTGTCAGGTGTTGGAAGCCAGAGCTATAGAACCGTGGCATTCATGAACTGCGTTGGGTATCTGTAAACCTGCACGGGATAACCTCAGAAACCAAATGGCTATACGCTTATGTGAATTCTTGCACTTTCAGTTAGCCGGTTTGTGGTTCGATCACGACGAGACTGCACCTTGACGTGGTGTGATGGCTTGCGCACCTCAG